TAGCATCGCCGGGGCTCAGCAAGAGGGACCAAGTGGAGGTGACCGGAGCCAAGTTTCCTGACTCCCCAGAAGCCAGAGGTCAGCCAAAGCTGAAAGCAGTTTTACTTCACCAGAACACAAAGGGCAGGAAGGGAAATGCCTTGGCCAGGAAACCAGGTGGAGTTGGGCAAACAGACCTTCCCCAGAGTTTCCAGTAATGAGTTTTTACCTTGCAGTGCCCAGTCCGTTTCCCAGGGTGGGGGCCTGCTAAGGCTGGCATTATAGTTGCTTTTTTTTTTTTTCCTTCTGTTTTCATTTAATGATATGTCAAGCATATAAAACGGACCTAGACATGCATAAGCACCTCAGGTCTCTGATCAAGAATTCTCAGAATTGTTTTGTTTGTTTGTTTGTTTGTTTTTACTAAGGAAACAGATACAGAGTTGCAACAGGCTAAACTGGACTGCTCCTCAGAGCAGAGAATGTCTAGGAGCTCATGTCCATCTCTCCCGGGGAAGGTCAGGGTATGGAGGGAAAAATGAACCTGTCACTTTCGAACCCGCCTAAGGCAAGAAGGAAACCCAGTTCAGCGGTATGGCAGCCTAGCACTGCCTTTACCAGATCTTTCTCCATCATGATTTAGGTCCACCCCTGGCATTTTAGGAAAATTTAAGCTCTTTTTTTTTTTTCAAGTATGTTCATTTGGCATTCTGGATCAATCAGCTCTTTAGTTTTGTCACTGGTATTCATTATTGTACTCTAGAATACCTTGCAGAGCACACAGGGAGGTGGAAACCTCTTGTAAGATTTGAAGAAATACTTGCTTTGCTCTTGAGGACTTATTTTAAAGATTACTGCATTAAATATAGAAAAACACGGAATTTGTCAACTTCTAGTTAGGCTTTGCTAAGGCCCAAGCCCCTCTGGCTGCGTTTTTAACTTGTGGACAAATTTATGAGATACCTGCCCAGGTCAAATGAGGCATTAGCAGAAGCAGCTTACCACGTCATCTTCAGTCCATGAGCCAATCTCAAAGGAAGGCAGCAGCTGCATGGGAAATATGAATGAAATAAGAAAAAAAGAAGTGACATCATCATTGTCTTTTTGGTTTATCCCGTTGTGTTTTAGCTCTCGGCTGTTGCTCTGGCTTGGTTCCTCCTGCAGGTGAGGCTGAACGAAAAATAAATTCCCTGACCTTAAATGGAATTTCTCAGTGTTCTGGGGATTCTGCCCACGGAAGCCAACCATGCGCACTAACCCCTCAGCAACAGCTCACCGCCCTTTGCGAGCGTTGCAGCTGGACTCCGCTCGTCGTGGGATTTTTCTTTCTTGGTACTCTGGCACACCAAGAGTCCTTTTGCAGGGCTTGGCAGTCAAGGGGTTTCTGACATGCCTCAGATGCCAGAGCCTGCCTCGGAATGCTCAGTCAACATGAGGATCGTTTGATTATTAATGAAAATTCCAAAGCAACCATGTGGTAACCAGATGACTCGTGCCTTTTCTTACAGGAGAATTTGTAAGTGTTTTAACTGTCTCGCCTTATATTTTTAAAACCAAACATTAGGACTTACGGACGAAGAAGGGCAAGTAAAATGGGAACTCTTCTAAGAAAGCCAGGTTGCAGAGTTACGCCAGCGAAAATGAAAACAAACGCCCTTTCTGTCAGGTGCCCAAACATGAAAGATGACTGCAAGAAGGCTGCACCATTTTCAGAGCCAAAGGGCTACTCACTTCAGTGTATGCCCCATGGCCAGGGACTAAACAATAAATACCAGCATAATGTGAAAAAATCTGGGTTTTCCATGACTTGAAGTAGAGTGCGCTGTTGCCATTAGCTTTAACTAACTTGTCAAAATGGCTAAATTGTTCATGGGATAATGTGGCAAAGTGTCATTCAACCTCTGCTACAAATAGTGTTTTTCTGATGGCTGAGTTGAAAAAAAAGCTGAATTTGATTACTTTTACTATTAATGTAAAAATCAGAGGATGGGTGAGTGAATCCTTTTAATCTGCAGGTATTTTGAACTCACCTTGCCAGGAAAGTCATGCCCTTGCCTTCAAGGAGCTTTACATTTAAATGGGGGTGAAATAGGTATGAACTACACATGGAGGAGTTGAAGGCCACCTTTACCTTGGTTTACTCAGTGCTCAGAGTGCCTGGCATACAATACCTGATAATTTTTGTTGAACAATTTGTTGAATGAATAAAATTGAAGGGTGCATTTACTAAAATGTTAAATTTACTAAATTTACTAAAAGTATTCAACGTCTGTGGGGATACCAGGGAAAGGGGAGGGTTTCATAGACTAAGATGGGGAAAAGGAAGGCATGGGGGCTTGAGCTGGGCCCTGCAGGGCAAGGAGAACAGCGGTGACTGCAGGTGAGGAGAAGCAACAAGGCAAGACACTGGCAGTGGGGAGCGGGGAAGAGAAGGAAGGATGGGCGTGGTGCATTTGCCTAACCAGAGCACCAGATGCAGTCTGTGCATGATCAAGGATAAAGGGGAAATGAGGCCAACACTGGGGGCCAGGCGGAATTAAAAAAAAAAAAAACTCACTGGTTACAATGACTATGAATGTGTAGAGTTCGAGTATAACAGATAAGTCGCAAGGGCATAACCAGCTACTGCTCTCTATATCCTCAGCTACCCTCATGTACTCCGATTACTTGGGGGTTGCCCCTTCCCTCCTCTGAAATACCTGATGTATGTAGGAATCAATGGTCACATGCACTCACCTGCTTTAATAATGTGGAAAGGAAAACGACGTGAAGAAAAGGATCTAAAACTGAACTTGATCAAAGAAAATACATGACAAGTTTTATTTCTTCACAGGGCAGCTGGATACAGCTGCAGAAACATGTCATTTCCTTTTCCCATCACGGAAACAAATGTGAAGTAAGGAACTTTTTTGATTAGTTCAAGAAACAACAGATTAAGTTACAAAAATATTTCCCTGCATCAGGGCTGGCTTTTATAGAGAGTAGAGGGATGTGCAGTGTTTTGATTTTTATACCATTCCCAAATGTTGTGCTAAACAAAATTGATAAATAAGGATTTCTTGAATAGAATAAAGGTTGTAAATGAAACAACTAATCAAAACCAACATCTTCGGTTGTATCAAAAGGAAAAGAGAAGAGTTCTTTTGGGCCCTGAAGACGGCTTATGACGATGACGCCCAGGGAAAGGCACTGGGTTCAGTCTGATACTCACTCCGGCAGGATTCTTGCATGGTGCTTGCACAGATCAGTAAGAGGAAGGCACTGCTTCAAGACATTTGGAATTTGGCAGGACAGGGGATAAGAGTTAATGACCTCCAGCCACACAGTGGCTTATCATTTCCTTTATGTTTTCTGTACCTTGTTAACATATCAGTGTATCTACTATAGGGTGAGTTCTAAGCCTTTCTGTCTCTCTTTGGGGATAAAAAAAAATTCACCCGGTGACTGCCCCGTCACTTTACAGATTCATTATTTACACTCCAACTGATTTCAGGAGAGAAAAGCTCACGCTCATGTGCATGCACGTGACAATGATTCCTCCTAAGGATGATGAGAATCGGATCTAACAAAGATGTGATACACATAGCAACACATAACAAAGGGATTTACTGTCAAAACGTTTATTGTAAAATGGAGTTTTAAAACAAAAGAAAGCAAAGGAAAGTTCACATCAAAATGAAATGTATGACACCAACTTGGATTTCTGAATACATTGTAGACTTTGTGCTGGAATATCAAATTCCAACTATGAAGTCAATAACTGAGTAGTCTTACCACACAAGAGTAAAATTTAATCTTCCATACAAACATTATACAAGATTTTGGCATAGGACTTGCTCAGACTAACATTGCAATAGAATAATTGAGAAAAAATATTTTGCTAAAAAAACACAATAAAGTGATAATGCCTTCTATTCAAAGCTCACACTCAAAGAATATAAATATTTTCTATTATTTAGTACAAAAATTTTAAAACAGTGCACAAGCATTATGTGCAGTGTATTGTATCTGACATTAAAAGATATAGTATTCTGCACACGATATAAAATATTTAATGTAGGTGCTTGAAACTTTAGTTTGAAGTAAATAATCACAAGCCAGAGAGCTCCTTATAAGCAAGAGCGTGCAAACTAAGTTGGAACCCAAGGAAACATAGCTAGTCTTCTGGATTTCCTGGTAGACACTCATTTTTCATCACAGAAACGCTACACAGAGCTGTCAGGTTATGCTACAGTCAAAAGAATAGGACAGATTCTTCTCTCTGGCAATGCTTAAATTCTAAGCAGGAAAACAGTCTTACACAAAAGCAGCAAAAGGTACCCAATTATAGAAAAATTATGCTCTATTATATATGTGGTATGGTGAGATTGCTAATTTCAAAAGTCTGCATTGTTTGATCTAGTGTATCAAAAAAATTTTTTAAGTATCAATATTTAACTCAGGATGTTTTAGAAAGATCTTTCATGAAATTCTTACCACTCCAATGAAAACTCTGAAAATAAAATTATGTACATCATAGTGCTACAAAAGTCATTTTGGATCTCTCCCAAGCCTTCCTCTCACTCCCAATTCCTTGATTTTAATGGGGACCAAGTCTGAATTCCTCAGCTGGTGTTAAAATCTAACAAATCCTCTGCATGTTAAAAATTACTGGCTAAAAACTGGCCCTCAACAGTTCCAGAGCGTCAAAAACAAGTGTGCTACATGCCTCTAACTTCTTCCCATTGATTATTTATGTAAAATATTACATTGTGACTTTGCTCAAAAAAAAAAAAATTGTTAGGAAAAGAACCCTTTGAAATTAATCTGGCTACTTTGCAGAATTGTAGCTACCTCAATGACGTTTTTCTCTTTTACTTATTTATTGTGGAATCAGTATAATTCCACCAGCATCCTTAAAGGGAAAGAATCCATTTCCACAAGTGGAGATTTAAGATAAATGCCACAAATCTAAAAATTCAGATTGTGTAGTATCTGTAATCCTGAAAATGCATCTTTTGACTTGCGTAATTTTGGGGGGGGCGGAATTAGATGTGTAACTTTAAAATTGCCAGGTTTAGCAAGTTTCTCAGTGGAGGAAGGGACAATGGTATGAGTATTTTGGATGGAATTCTTTATTGGGTGCTACTGTCCCATTTTGGGCACTGGGCACTAAACACACCCTCGGTCACCATGACAACCAAAAATATGCCCAGCACTCCCAAACACCATTAGGTGACAGCACTACTTTGTTTGAGAACCACTAGTAGGGGGTCATCAAATTCTACATGATTAATTTTATGAGTGCAGGACGTAAGATTAAAGAGTAGTTATATTTTCAGTTGTATGGCTCTGACAATTATTACTACAATTTAGAGTTTCGATTTTCATTTTGAATTTTCAAATTTCTCTGTGTTTAACTCTTTATAAATGTATATATTTTAAGGTCAAATAACTAGAAATAAATTCAATACCAATAATTTGCCACTTCAAAAACTGATCTGAAAAGTGAATTAGAAGCTGCACGATTTACTTCAGTATTAGATTTTTCCGCATATGGCTAATAAACATTTCTTTTTAAAACTGATAAAACTAAGAGTCTAAAGTCTTCTAATCTTTACGTAGTGAGACCACTTTAAAATTCCTTTTATATGATTCAGATTTCAGGAATATTCAAAAATCTAGAAAGATACTGATTTGAAACAGAAAGTAAAATAGTCAGTGCCATATGGAACTATTTAGAGCCTAATTCTAGGTGGAGAAGAATTTCAAGCTTATCACTGAGGTTATCAATCATTTATATCCTAATTCTTTGCAGTTTCTGGATGGTAGAGTATTGAGAGCTATGGCCATCTCTGGAATACTGGTGAGGAAATGGCAGCAGTTGAAAGATTAAAGAAATATTACCTACTTAATGGTTAACCTAGGCCTGGGTACTGAGTCCTATTACCTTTCCTTTTGGCCCTATTTAGCTGTTTTTATTAATGCAGCAAAACTTTTTAAAAATCATAATAGATTTATATGTAAAGAAAAAAATGTCAGTTTTATTCAGTTCATATGTTCTAAATTTATTGCTGATTATCCTTAAATGGGGGGCTAGGTTTACATTCTTACATGAAGTGCACAGATCCCAAAATTAGCCCACAGAAATTCCCTTATAAGTGAGTCTTTTCCTGACCACATTTTAAAAACTGTGACACTCCCCGTATGCCTTATCCTCCTTCCCTGCTTCATTCTGAGCATGCACTTACCAAATGTTTACATTCTATATGATACATTGGTTTTGTTTATTGTTGATCTTTGCTCTCTAGCATGTAAGCGCCACGAGTGCAAAGATTTTTGTCTAGCTGTTCCCTAGAATAGTACCTGGCACACAGAAGAGGCTCAATGAATGTCTGTGGAATGAATGACTTTATCTTTGCCTGGTAAAATGTGCAAGAAGCTTTTAAACTACCCTCTTTGGCTCTCTCCTTCAGGTAGATAGGCCATAGTGCCCTAGGGCATGCTAGGAAGTCAAGAGTTGAAAACCGTCCCTTCTGTTCCACTCTAAGATTTTCTGCTTGAGTGGCTTGGCATAAGTCAGGGAGTACTTCTCTAAGTCTGAACACAGACAGGATGGATGCTTATTTATGGGTGAGCCTGTTGATCGCCAGTAATAAACTGTGGTGTGCATGTATCTATATGTGTTTGCAGAGACATAAGAACCTTATCAGACCGGATATGTGGGGAACCCATTTTCCAGGTGAAAGGCTTACCTACTCTCTCTGTTTACTTAGTCTGTGGATGGTAGTAGGGTACACAGTCTTCAAAGAGCAGTAGAATAAATCTATGTAGCTCATACTCTATTATAACTATACTCCTGATCTTTCCTGAAAGTAATCCACTTTTGATTTCTTCTCATACTACTCAGCAAATATCACTTGAAATTGATAGTTTAAACTTTTTTCTAGGTTACTGAAACCACTTATTTTTCAATGTCTTTTCACTGGCATAATTACAGTAGCTAACATTAACTGACCATTTACTACTGAACTGGTTCTTAAATGCTTTACATGTATTATTTCATTTAATCACCACAACAATTCTTTGAAGTAGGTACTATTATCATTTTCATGTTAAAGATGAGCAAACAGACACACAGAGGTTAAATAATTTGCCTCAGATTGCACAGCAAGTAGACCCAGGGTTTTGAATCATGATCTGACTCCAGATCCCTCTCTTTATCTCACACCCACAACATTTTATTAGTTATTTTTCTTCAGATAAAGCTGGCACAGTGTACTGATCATTTTGTGGCATTTTTCAGTTTTTAATGGAGATTAGAAGCATGTCATGTTTCAAATTCCAAGAGGCTTTTTATGGTCAAATATACCTGGAAGTAGTATTAGATAATATCTATGATGATATCCTTTCTTAAATCTTCCATAAAAAGAATCACCAAAAGTACTTTGGTTTAACAGTCAAATTAATGGCACTGCTTTATACTTTCGGCTAGAAAAAAACTTTTGTTCTTTTGCTTTTCTTTACATAACTACAAATGTTCTGTATTCTTTTTAAAAGTATTTTACAGTTTAAAGAAGCATTAACGAATATGTGATAACACTCTGAGAGTATCTCCCTGGCCAGCCAGATTTTCAGAGCGGTACCTGTATGTACTTCTCTTCAACACCAGCACTACTGAGTCAGGGTTCAAAAAAGACTGCTGGAAGGCAGGCCAGATTTGATATAAAAAGGACCTTTCTTGCCTGCACTTTTGCCTAAGTAAGGAAGACTTATTTTTAACATTCCTTTCATAATATTTAGTTCCTTCTTTAGAAAATCCAGGATTATCAGGTCCCTCTGGAAAGCAAATACATAAACACCCTTACTGGAAGTGCAGAGCACTCATTCTGCCTGGAAGCATCCCTTTAAGACCGTATCTTTCTCTCTGTATGAAGTATAAGCTAAGCTTAGATGACAGTTTGTTGTTGTTAAGAAGCTTTCAGGGCTAGTAACTGGTACGAAAGCCGGCGACATCTGCTGCTGTTTTCAAATTAGAGTATTTCTCTTTCAAATGTACTATTGAGAACATCTCTCAGGTCTTACTTTGAATAGCTGTGTTATTAAGTATTGAAAATTCTTGGCATTTAGGTATTTCTGAAGAAGTATTTGTTATAACTTTCTTTCGTCTCAATTTTTTTATGTTGGATTTTGTAGTCACTATCAATTATTTCTGACAGTACAGTGTATTGCCATTAGAAAAAAAAATGTAGTATGTTACAAGAAAATCAAGTGTCAAAGAAGAATTAGGAGTTAAGAGTGCTTATTCAAAATGAAGTTTTCTTTAGCAACTGAATAAGTGAAATGAAATGAGATACAAACTATAAAGTATTCATTTAAAAAAGTCAGAATGTCATTAATTAAAAAATACTATATTGTATACGGAATCACAATTTCTATAATCAGGCACCACATTTGCTGATTCATTAAATATGTTTTTTTGGCTTAATTTTCCCATTTTCCTGTAAGCAAAAACAAATCAAAAGTAAAACTGATAAAGAAATGACGGTCATATAAATGTAATTGGCCTACAAATGCAATGCTTGGTTTTCTACCTCCTTACTGATTTTTGTACAGACTGAGATAACAAGTTTCTTTTGTTTTTTCGAACATCTTCAAATTTATTACTTTACTTTCTGCTTTCAATCACTATTATTATCCATGTCATTATCCTCCTCATCACCATCATCATCATCATCATCATCATCGCCTTCTGACAAGTCAAAATCACTGAACCCCAGGGCCATGTTGACCTTCTTCCCCTTTCTCTTAGATGTGGTTTTGGAAGAATTCTGCTTGGCTTGCATGTTTATCTGCATCCCAGAATGCAGCACAGCTCCTGCTTTGTTCATTGAGAAGATATCCCCAAAGCCCATCAGCATCATGGCCTGCAGACTTTGGTTCATGCCATGGCCCTCCCCATTACTTGTTGCTGTGATCTGACATGACATCTCTGCACTGTTTGACTCCTCTGTCTTAGTTTCAAAGTAAGACTCCTCAGACATTCTTGCAGCAAGAGGCAAGAGAAGCTATCACAAGGGAAGAAAGGACAGAAGTAAAAAGAGAAATTAGGACCAATTTAAATAAAGAAAACAGATACCACAAAATTAGTGGGCACTGCACAGAAGGTAAATGATTAGTGAAATAAATGAATGTACGGAATTATGTGAGAATTTACTTAATAGCAGGTTTGGCTCCAGGGTATTTGCCATAATTAATAAATGACAGAATAAATCATAACCAAAAGTTTGCAAAGCAGTATAGCAAGCCAAATTTCAAATGGGAAGGAAGTTAGTTGCAAGTTTTAAGCCCTTATTCTGCTTAAAACAAAACACTTTTTAGGATTTCTCTTAATTTTTCCCAATTTCACTTTCACAGAGAAACATTAGTTAACTATTGTATTAAAAAGAAATTAAGTAGAGATGAAATGTCAAATAAAAATCAAGAAACCTTGTGCCAAAAAGAAAAGCTTTGAAAGAGCATGAAAACGGTTTAGCAGTCAATACAGTTCTAGGGAAATTTGGGTCATTAACTACTTTTATAGCTAGCTTAGTATCCAACTATAAACTAAAAATGAATCTAGAATTCAGTTGTTTCCATTTATTATTTATTACAGCCAGATAAAATACTAGTTATTCAATTTATGAAATCACTTGTGAACAAAGTTTAGATTCTGTGTCTACCATTTAAGTTATAAACAAGTACATAAATACATGTGAAAATTGGGAGAAAAGGCAATTACTATTAATTTAGATCATTACCTTTTTCTCTATTCTCTACTATATAAGTTTCCTTTTTCAGAACTTTATTCTAGGAATTCCCCTTTTCACAGTGGACATGGACATTTATTTTCTACCTTATGCAATTATTTTGAACAACCAACCCATTCCCATAAATGCTGATTATAATCATTTCAGGGTAAAACTGTCTGAAAAGTGTCAACGCTGCTTCTTTTGAGAAATAAGCAAACTAAGGCTTATATTTTTGGTGTTGTTTAAATATAAGTAAATTTGTGACAAACGATGTACAGATAATATATCTCTGAGGTGACCTTTACATTCTGGATGTAAAAGTATTTTTTAGGGCCAATTTTCTAAATTTTAAATTGAAGTTGGAGCTGAGTTTTAAAAAAATATCCTACTCTATTAGGAAAAAATTTCTGAATTTGTTAGTTCAGTAAGAACTTCATATAATTCAGGTAAAAAGTACCAGTTATATGAGAAAAAAAATTACTTTAGATTCTTTAACACTGGAAACGGGATATTATTTTCCTTGTAGTCAAATTTCCTAGTTTCTCAAATTTGTTTTCAATTGTTAGATGCTCTCAGGAAACTCTTTGTTGCTTATTTACTTTATTATTTCATGGGTCCTTCCTTACATTATGTTAAGATCTCAAAGATGTCTCTCAAATAAGCTTTTATTCTTAAAAGAAATAAGTTTTTTACATCAAGCTACAAGAATAATTAAAAAATAAACATTGTCCATATTTATATATTGAGAATTCATTTTCCCAAATATCTTTAATGTTTTAATTTCAGAAAAGAAAACAGTGCCCTTCCTTGAAATAAATCCAATAATGCAATTTTAAATGATGTTATGTCAATGCTAAACTTTTATAATTAAGATGAGGCTACCTACAGGAAACCTAAACCTCCAGCTACATCCTTTTTAAAAGATTTATTTTATCTTTCTCTCAGAAACCTCATTTAAAGTCAACCAGAAACTGATGTGAGGATAAAAGAAAATACCTACTTATAAAATATCTGAGCATAAACTTTCTTTCCTTCAGGAACAGCAGCACTAAGCAGAGAGACATTAAAAGCAAGCAAGAAAGAAAACTTCGCCCTCACAAGAAAAGGGAAGAAAATCTCATTGAGATGGTGCTTCATGCTGTCCATTGTTAGATGGTAGCCCTCAGAAAAGGTCCTTTAGATAAAGTTTTCGGGAGTTAAAATGCAGCATATAACCTATTGCGCACTCATAGTGTTCCATTATTTATTATACAACTATGTTACTAACAGCAATAATGTGTGCAAGGCGGCCCATAATTTCCTAGCAAAATTCATGCAAATAAACCAAAGAAAGGTTTTAAAGCATACCCCAATAGGTGGTTTAAAGTTTTTTCTTACAATGTTACATTTAGAGTCAAGCCATGTAATGCTTCATAGCTTAAGATTTCGATGTATTTAAAAATAACAACAGCAGCAGCTCTCAAGAAGACAGTCATATTTTTGCCTCTCATCAGCTCTTGAAAGCAGAGCCTCCCTGCAGACCCTTCGTTAATGCTTTCTGAGTCTGCCTGTTGGTCTCCATTCTGCCAGCGCAGGAAACTTCCCTCAACTTCTTTCAAGCTGAATTCACTGAACTTATAAAATGTGGTATTTTTAATGTCCATGAGAGCCTTGTGTATAGCAATTCAGTTCTTACTCTGGGATTCTCTGGATAATCAAAGTCATTTTTGAAAAAGTTAAATGTGATAATAAAAGTTTACCTTCACTTATTTTCCCATTTTTGGATATCAGGTTGCTGTTCCACATAAATCGGAAAAGGAGGCAAGCTATTTTATTCTTTAGACACTGGAAAATATTTTGCAATTGGGCACTGGCTGCTTAATGGAGATTAAAACCTTTAAAAATAGAAACCCTTTTTGAAGATCACAAAGTAAAGGGCATTTAAGTATTTTGGGGGGGTATAATTGCCACAGCAATTATCAAGAATAAATTTAAAATATATAACAAATATACTTCTAATCTTACCATTACGTGTGATTTTAAAGTGGACAGATATGACCCATTAAAAACCCTGGAAAAACCAATGATAAATTTATACTTAATTCCTCAAATGATAAATCATTTAAAATAGGAAAGAATGCTGAAATTTGATTAGACTTTAATATAGCACGTCAACATACAAGGTCAAAGTAAGTGTATAAATAGAAAAATCCTTAAAAAGAATTTTGATCTTCCTCTAAATTCAACACTTGGTGGTGGGGGGAGATATTTCCTAGGTGTAATAAATATTGGAAGTTGTCCCTAGAGAGGTCTTTCCAATCTTTTACTGCCCATGATCATAATGCTAAATTGAGTAAGGAATATTAATGCATGTCATTTATAAGTCATTCATATAGTTCTCTTTTAGAAGAAAAACTTTCTTAAGTTCTGACACATCAAAGACTTTCTTAGCTAGTTGCCTTGGTGCTTGTTACATTTATTAACTACTGGTGAACTCTAAAGAGTCACGCAGCATCAAGGGACATGTTCTGGGGACCTAACAGATGGTGTGAACATACATTGGATTTTATTTTTGTAATTCTAG